TATATATATATGTAAATGTATATATACATACATACAGTATGTGTTGTTTATAAGAGTGTGTTAAAACACTGTTTCTATGCAGGAAATACCACGTAGAGCTCAGTAATTGTTAGCTGTGCTCAACCGTAGCAATGAGACGAGGAACTTGACGTTACATGTTTAATATAGGTTAAACACGAAACGTTGAAGTTAATTACAGCTGGCCCTTTGAGGGCCACCATGATTCTCATGTAGCCCTCGGTGAAAAGGAGTTTGATGTTCCTGTTATACAGAATTTGCCATAAATTTTTAAGGTAAAACTGGTGGTGTGCACTAAATATTACCTGCTGAGAATCCAAAGAGGAAGACGATGTAGACAAAAATAAATCGCAGGATGTCACTGAGAATCATCTGCAAAGACAGACAGCCTCAGATTACAGTTCACTGGGATTTCCGCCAGTGGAGGTCAAAGGTCAGTTACCTTCTGTATCATGACACTGTAGATGCCCATGTGTTCGTAACCCCTGGAGTAGTACAGCATGTTCACCCAGCTGAGAGCAAGACACACCACCAAGAAGCCGAGGTACTCCTGCCGCCCCGACAGATACAGCCCTACTGAGACCAGGAACAGGAAGCCCTGCACAAAACTGTCAACAGCAGGGATGTCACAGGGCTCTGAGTCAGGTCAGTCTGAGTGATGACCGTATGATCAAATAAAAATGAGACTTTGAATGCATCAAGCTCTCAAATGATACAATAAAATAAAAAATAAATCAATAAATTTAGTGACTTTGGATGACATGGTAAAAAAAATGTGTTTTAACTACGCTATCCTGTTATCTTCTAACAATCTGAATGCTGAGTCAGCATTAGCATTGCTTTCATTGTTGGTGATTGTTTTTGTCTATTTTATGAATATAACGCTAAGTTTATTCAGGAGATGGGAGCTATATGACTTTTGAGTTTTGTGGCTTTTATAGTTACACTTTAACTTTGGCCAGTCTTTTGCTAATTTTAGCTTTTTACATTTAACTAAGCTTTTGTTTATTTTAGATTATAGCTATTGTTCTGCTTCTTTGCTACATTAAACTTTTAGGTAGCAAATAGATACATTTAGCTAGTCTTTTGCTATTTTTAGTTTACAGCTAGCATTTTTTTCAATTTTTAGCTTTTATCTAGCATTTTTTAACAGAAAATGCAATTTTGTCCTGTTAATATTTAAGATATTTGTTTTATCAAAAAGCAAATACAAAATATATTCTAACCAATTTTGTACCTTTTGTTCAGCTTTGGTGATGATGAAAATTATTTCAGCATTTTTGAAGTCTTAGACATTCTGACAACAAATTAGACCGTGCTTGAGCAAAATAAAATTTTTGATACTTACAAGAGAATCTCATAGTATCCATCAACCAGCAGCGTTTTCATCTTTGGTCGTTTCCTCTTCATGTCTACAAACTATGTATTTAGACACATTTTAATGAATTCTAACATTTCCACAAGTGATATGAAAATCTGAGGTAACATTTGTCCACATACCCCAATAAAAAAGAAATACAAGTTTGCTAAAGTTGTCAGCATCTGGCCTGAAACATACAGGCAATCCTCGATAGTGTTCTCAATGACAAACGGTGGCTGTGGACACACAGAGGAGACATGAGGACAGGTCTGTCTCACATACACATCTGTCAAACAGAGTGTGGAAACCAGCTTACCACCCTGTTCTTCTTATTATAGGACACAAGAGTGAAGACGATCAGGTACAGAAGGTAAAGCAGGAAGTTGAGGAGGAACATTCGACCTGCAAACCTCTTCCACTTGTCCTCCAGCAGTCGGCTCAGCAGCTCTGTCTCCAGCATCTTGTGACGATTCTAAGAGAGAAGACGTCAAGTTTGAGTCTAAGACAAGCTCCAGCCGATCCAACCAGACTCATGACGGCGGTGAAGCTCACAGGAATGTCACTGCCGTAGATCAGAATCTCCAAGACAGAGTTGTCCTCGTACGAGTCGACCGAGGCCAGGTCATACAGGGAGCAGTGGACAGGTCCATACACCCACTCAGTGAACTTACGGGACAGATGTTTGGTGTGATTCTCCTGGAATTCCCTTTTCAGGATGTACGAGAAGAGCTGCGGAAACAGATGAAAGAAAAACTGTAAAACGGAAATGAATTCTGACATATGCCTATGCCTTAAGCTCTCATGTCTGTCGGAGCTTCTGTAAACCTTGCAGATCTTTTCACAACAGCCTGTGGTATTTCACCTCAGTCTTGCCGGTCCTTGCGGCCAGCTTGAGAGGAGTCAGTCCTTTGTGGTTCTCGACATCCTCCAGCTTCAGCTTGGGGTGCAGTCTGTTGGTGATCTTGAGGATCTGGTCATATATGGCGGCGATAAATGCTGTGTTCTCCTTCGATTTCTTTGTCTTGTCGACTGCCACCATCACCAGGGCGTGCAGCACCGTGTTGCCCTGAGAGTCCACCAGCTTGGGGTCTGCCTGCTGGTACTCGTTCACCATCAGGTACTCCACGATGTCAGGCTGGTTTGTGCAGGCTGCTAGAGACAGGGGCAACTCGCCTGGAGACAAACTGGTTCGCATCAGAGACAGTTCTGTCCACAACAGCTTAGAAACACAAGTTTATTTAACAGATTTATGATGTAGCACTCGGAGGTGACAGTTGGTTTATATTTGATAAACCAGCCCTGGATGATAGATGGTCAGATTCAGGTGAGTTCTTTTGGAGATAAAAACTTGTTCAGTACATGTTAGAGGTACCTTGGTTCAGTTCAGTAAATTTGTTGTTTTTAATCCATTTGGGCAGTGGTGGACATGGCTCTAATTATTAGCAAATAGATGGTTCTCAAGTGATAAAACGACAGGAAGCAGCAGGATCATGTGCAGATTGTTCATGCTTGTGCTGCCTCAGTTTAGCTTGAAGTTTAAYGCTTAGTTGAAAACAGTGGCAAGGTGGAAAACACTTACCTGTGCCTATCTTTTTAATTGAACTTTTAAACTTCAAGCTAAATTGAGGCAGGCTTAAACAATCGATCTGCACGTGGTTCCTGTTCTTTCCTGTCTGTTGACAGATAGGAGAGGAGCTGTTCCAAGAAGCCCCGCCCACCTTATTTGCAATATGAGACAGAAATACTTATGGTAAAGTAAAAACTAGAGACAGAGAAATGTAAAAGCAGCACATGAAAATAAAAAGATTTGTGGGAAAAAACAGTAACAAAAAAATGTAAGAGACACAAAAGCATCAACAAAAAAAATTTAAATTCAGAGAAATTTAATTTGTGACCCATCATATTGAAACAAGGATTAGGTCTAAAATTAGTATGTGGAGAAATAAGTTTTCAATATATTCATTTTGTCAAAATATACCTTATTAATGTATCATTTGAATGAACTATCTGAAATATAATCCTAAAAAAAATTTGAAGCACTTTTTGAGTAGGTGCAACAAAAAAAAGATTTTGAGGAAAAATTCCCTAAAACTTTGAGATTTTCTGTGAGCTAGCAACGTTTTTGTTTCTTTCCAGCAGGGAAATCTAAATATTCAAATACTGTTTGAGGATTCCTTTCTATATTGACTATTCCTCATTAAAATTACATAAAATATGATTAGGTCATTTTGACCAAATTTGATTTAATCCTCATTTCAATATGACAGTTCACTTTCAGCACTTTCAGGACCTTGAACAGTTCTTTCACACTGTCTAAAGTCCTGAAACCTTTCAGCACTTTCAGGACCTTGGACAGTTCCTTCACACTGTCTAAAGTCTTGAAACATTCCAACACTTTCAGGACCTTGGACAGTTCCTTCAGCCCTCCACACTGTCTAAAGCAGTGATTCCCAACCACGGGTACGCAAGCATATTACAGGGGGTACGTGGAAAAATTTCCCAGGTGTGTAAAAAATATGTAAAAATAAGATGTGGAAATTGCAGACAGAATCACAGAATTAACACAAAATAGAATCCAGTATAAAACATGGAATCTCACAGAATTTGCTCATTTGGGTGAGCTTCTAATTTATTTTGGACAATGCAATGTATTTTGGATGCTGCTGTTTTCTGCACCTGCCATTACATGGTTTATTTATTAAATTACTTGTTCACTTTCAAGGCAACATTTTTATCTTTGTTTWATTTGAGTTAAAAATAAAATGCCTGAGAATTAAAGGTTCTAGGGGGTTAAATAAATAATTTTCATTTAATAATCAGTTGTTGTTGTACATTATAGTTTTGGAGAATCATCATTTGACTGAAGGGGTACTAGTGGTATGACAATATGGCTCAGGGGGTACACAAGTATAAACAGGTTGGGAACCACTGCCTTGAGATGGGTGAGAAGGAAGATTTTTACCTGATTCAACCAACAGAGAGCAGCAGAGTTCTGTTAAAGGTTGCTCTCTTTTTACAACTGAGATGAAGTCCTGAACAGACTTGAAGAGGAGTTATTCAGTCATTTGAACCAGGTGTGATGGAGCAGAGAATAAAAAACTTGAAGGACATTGACCCTCTGAGGACTGGAGTTTGATGAGGCTAAAGAGTCCACCCTGGTCTTTGAAGAACAGTCAGTCCTCTCCAAAAACCCCAACATGGACTCACCAAAGTAGAAGTAAGGGCCATCGTGTGGCTGAAAGAACTTTCCGCAGGCTCTGGCATGAACGTCTGCTCCTTTACTGATCAGCAGCTTCACGTAGGATAAACTCCTTCTCTCAATGGCTATATGTAGAGCTGTCTGACCTGCCAGGGGAGACAGAAGGTCAGATTGGTTAAGTAACTTAGTGTTTTGCTACTTTTAATTAACTTTTTTACTTTTTTATTGCAATTTGGTACTGTTAGCATTTTTTCTCTTTTTAGCTTTCAGCTTCTTCAGCAAATTTCTTCATCCATTCGTTTGCACGTGAACAGAAACATTGTATATCTCCTTTACTGAGAGGAATGTTGACCTTTATAGTAGCTGTTGGTAAAAGCTGCGTTCACAAACTTCTGGATGTCGCCCAGCCTCTCTGAAATGTCGATGAGCACGTCTACGGTCTCGTTCTTGCCGTCTCTGAGGTGCAGCAGAGCTTTCATCAGGGCAGTTTTGCCGTAGGACTGATCTAGATGTGGAACGACATATTAGAGGTTAGCTCACAGCTAGAGGTCCCCTTACACTGCGTTCTGGCTGCTCACACACACTTACACAGAGAGTCTGAGAGTTTCTTCATGTTTCGATGCAAGTAGTCATAAAGGCCATCCAGTTTTTGGACGTCCCTACTTGCCGCAGCTTCAAATAACCGTTCGATGGTAAAAGCAGAGTCATCTCTGTGTTCCGCCGGCTGTTCACCTCGAATCCCTCTAGAAACAAAACATGTTTAACAGAATTATTCCAGATTACTGAGGGTCAAACAGATTCACAGTCAGCTTTAATAAAACCATGAGTCCTGATGACACACAGCAACCCTGATGAGAGTTTAACAGAAGCAGAAATCAGTTTATCACTGCATGTTGAGGCTCACTTGTCAAATCCCAGATTGAATCGGATTTTGCATTTGGGTTCCTCTATCTCCTCCTGGTAGTCCGTGTCCATAGGAGCCTTGGGGGCCAAACCGTCCCCCTTTGTACCTCTTTGCCGGGACCTCTCCTCCTCTGTTCTGTCRTCTGCCTCCAGCTCGAAGCCTCCGAACATCTCGCACTTGTCCATCTTGTCCAACCTGGAGCAAAGTGTGCACACTGTTCATCACAACCAAGTTTTATCTTTGGAAGAGCAGAAAAACCTGACTGAGGATTTGACTGGACTATCCCAGAACATTCAACTGGTTCTCCTTAAACCCTTTCTTTTGTTCTCCTCTTTGACACCATAAAGGACCACCTCATTTTACTGTACTTGTTACAATGATGATAAAAATATTCTGATTTTACACCTATGGATCCACTTCRGTTTGTCAAGATCATGGTCCTGCTGGAACCTCCATTCCAGTCTCAAACCTCTGGGAGACTCATAGAAATAAAGGATGCCCTCTATATTTCCCTCTGCCCATCTTTTCTTTATTTCTGAGAAGTTTCCCACAGCATGATGCTGCCACTGCCGTGCTTCACGGGTGTTCTCAGCCTGATGAGAGGAATTCGGTTTGGGTTTTCATGGCCTAAGTCTCAACACCTCACCCTCTTCTTTGGCAAATTACAAATAGTTCAGAATTTAGGATATATATTTTTTTACAACCCTAACCTGATCTGTACTTCTACAMAACTTTGTCTTGGACCTGTTCGGAGAGCAGATCTGTCAAATAACACTTAACCCTAACCTCAATACTACTAATACAAAAGATAAAACATATTAACTCATGCTAGTCTGGTGTTTACTTAAATAATGCAATTTCTTTTGTTCTCTCAAATC